TTTTTTTTTTTAATCAAGGAACTCATTCCACCATGATAGAATAAAGAGCTTATTTTTTTCCTCTCAAAGACCATATATAAGTTTTATTTTGTATTATTTGTAATAACCCACAAGCTAAATTTTAAGGATATAAAATTATCGTAATATTTGGGAAGAAAATTTATTAAGAAATCTTAGTTTTTATTAGCAAAATGTAATGGCTCAAGGAAACCCATTCCGGATTCCACCAGTTGAAAACAACAAGCTGTAAACGTACAGTTTTGGCTTTTTTAAAAAAACTAGTTTAACGTGTTTATGTGCATGTGACTTCCTTGTTAATAGAGTTAAATGTCAATAGCTATGTAGGAAAACCTACCCGGGTTTCCCACTTGCCGTGCAAACATGTGAAGCAAACTTGTTTCAGACTGAATATTTTCTTATTAAGAGGTCAAATTTAGTTTAACAAATTATTAACTTAATTGGGCCCAGATTTCTTAGGTGTAGATTGAGGAGCGTAGAGTGAGCCTCTTCCAGTTTGAAAAGTCAGTAAATTTGTTTATCTTGAAGATATTTCACAGGAGATTTTTATGAAATTTGTTGTCATTGAAAGTAAGTTAAACTTTACCTAATGGTAATTATCAGAAAGGTATTTGAAAGGATTTTTAGCTTAAGCATGCTCTACAAGATGAACAATACTATTAAAATTCACATTTACTATCATGCAAAAGAGAAGAGTAATTTTCATGTTTTGCCAGTACATACATAGATATCAAAGAATAATTGATAACCATTGTTATAATATTTGAAATTTTGCAAACAGAATTTGACCCAGCATTTCCACTTTGTGGGTTTTAGCCTATGGATATATCAACATATGTATACAAGGTTGTGTAATGCACTCATGTGTGTCATAGCCAAAAATTAGAAACAAATTAAATATCTGTTAAAATGCAATGTTTACATAAGGTATAATGAGGTAGATCTATAAATCCAGGATGTGCTATTAGAGGGAAACCTCCAGACTACATCACTAAGTGAGAAGTGCAAGGTGAAAAGCCATCTCTACATTGCAATCCCATTTATGTAAATAAAATGATGTGAAAAGAATTTACATATACATGTACATGACAGATATACGCCTACGTGCTGGCATCTACAGACAATATTTTCCTGAAAAGCTATGCACTTAACAGTGCTTCCCCAGGTTGACACAGGTTTCTTTTGGGGAAACAGAATAGGACTGGATGGTTTCCTCAAAGTTTGTGTTTAAATAAATGTTCTGCCTTATGTTTTAAGGCAACCTTCATAACATAGTCAGAGAAAGAGAAAAAGAAAATGTAATTATACGTCAGTTTATAGATATAAAACTCTCAAATAAAATTTTATTTAACCCAAACTGAAACTGTGATAAAAAGAATATTCTATTTCAAGCAGATATTTTCCCAGGAAAAAAAAGGATAATTGAACTTGACAAAAACTGTCAATATAATCAATCACATTAATGATCTACAAGAAAAGAAAGTGATTATCTCAATAGATGCAGAAATAATAATTGATAATTATAAAGATTTATGTTAAAAATAAATACCTCATGGGGCCGGCCCTGTGGCTTAGCGGTTGGGTGTGCGCGCTCCACTGTCAGCGGCCCAGGTTTGGATCCAGGGCGCGCACCGACGCACCGCTTCTCCGGCCATGCTGAGGCCGCGTCCCACATACAGCAACTAGAAGGATGTGCAGCTGTGACATACATCTACTGGGGCTTTGGGGGAAAAATAAATAAATAAAAATTTAAAAATATGTAAATAAATACCTCATAAAAAATAGTAATGGAAGGGAACGGAATTCTTTGTGGAAAGCAACAAGTTATGCATTTATAATGGACCACTGTGCAGAAGCCAAACACAAAGAACCAAAGTTTATATATAGCAAAATAGGCAAGCATGAAAGAGACTCGTCCCATGAGACTTTTTCTGGGAAAATGACAAACAACAGCAGTATATGTTTTTCAAGGCCAGGTACCTATATTTGTATGTCAGGTGATTGAAAGGACATGAAGTAAATACATTACGGGGGTCCAATGGGCAAAAGGAGAGTAACTCTGAGAACGTGGGTTGAAGGAGACAAGCAAGAAAATAAACAAAACAAAACAAGTCAGGAGCTTTGCCTTGACCAATGCTGATATAATGTCATGAACCGACAAGTATGATCGAAGAGATTCTCTACACCATTCCAAAATAAATAAAGCAAAGAATTATCCTATATCCGGGAACCAGCATAGGCCTGCAGAATGAACTGTGAAAGCTTTTTGTTTTGGGACCAAGTGTGACATGAGACCACACGTAGGGACATAGCACAGGGGCTATGCACAGAGGCCTACACTCCGTTTCAGCCCCTCTGAGATCTCAGGAGAATCACTTAGCCTTACTACAAATTAGATTTCTTAATCTGAAAATAAGACAGTAATATTTACCTCCCTGGGTTTTGTGCAGAATTGATGAGATAACACATGACTGGGAGATAGTATGCATGCCCAGCACATAGTAAGTGTTTTAATGAATATTCATTCTCTTCCCTCCAACCCCACAGTAGTTTCATAGTTAATATACTTCCTGTTGGAAGGAATTCTTAGAAAAGACTGTAGCTACTTCCATAAATTATTATTCCCTTTATACTCACTGAATTTTTCAGAAAATCTTCTATTCTTCAGCCTTAGCTCTAAATTACAGAGCCTGTCATAAAGCTAACAGGGCCAATCAAAAACAGGGAAAAAAGCAGAAATATTATAAGTGAAGGATTGCACATTAACATACTCAGTCTTCATAAGCTTCTAAGTAGTGTTGATGAAACTATTAGTTGTCATAAAAAGGCTGATACGTGTTGATATAACTTCATTCTAGCCTTCCAGAGTTAGCAAGCATATTATCATCTATATATTTTTTATAATTAACAATGTTACTGCTATTTTCCTCCATAATTGGTGCATTTATTGAGAGATTTCCCACTGTTTGACTGATGCACTTCATCCTCTATACTTTTTCCCTGCTGCGTCCCCACAATTATGATACTCAAAATTTATGGAGTTTAGATTCTTCTTGCTGCTGTTTTACATTCCTACTTACTGTTTATTCATAGGATAAAGAGAAGAGGGTTCCATGTTGGCATGAGCTTTTACATAGATGATTAGCAATGGCGCTCTGAGAACAACCACTTACTTTTTGATACCATTGATGGATTCAAAAACAAGGCGTACATGATACTGCCTAAATCACAAATGTGTCTCTTTATGTGAAGTGTTGACTGCATGATAACGGTTGAAGGAATGTTTCATCAGAAAGTAGTTTATGAGGCTGGGGTTATGTGCAAGTTCTATGACAGTCTGTTTAGTTATCAATCGGAAGATTGCATTCCACTTTGGACCTCTGATGGGTATTGTGGACTTTAGAATATGCAGAGTAGAACAGACCTAGATTTTCTCTTTTTGTTAAATCACTGCCAAGACTAAGTGAAAATGAAGATTTGACTAGGCTGGACTATTACTGTTATAGCCATTCTGTGGTACCCAGCGTGTCTTAGGAAATAGAAGTGTTATAGAAACAGTTGCCATGAGTTTATTTTCTCTTTCAATGCCTGATGGGAAAATGTGCTGCTTAGCTAAAGAGGTACAGTGGGAATAATGCTCATTCAAGAAGTCTTCAAACTGAGCTACAGGTATTTAATTTAAAAGCACACTGTCTGTTTCAAGAGTTAGTATGTCCTTCTGACAAGAAATATCATTAAAGGATAGTGATGTTAGTAACTTAGGGGTTATAAAATCGTTTTCCTTTAAGATTTGGCTGAAAAAACATTGTTGAATCTTTGTGCAAAACATCAGGTCCTCTCACAATGTTTTACTGTGAACAGACAGTTTATTATCATTCCCCTTGAGGGCAGGGAGAAAGAATAAAGCTGGGTTTACCTGACACCATCCCCTTTGCTTTGTTAGATCTAATGAGAGACTTGCCGGCTATCTAAGTTTTACTTTTCAATATAAAATGTTACTTCTGAAGTATAATGATGTACACCTGAAATTTATACAATGTTATAAACCAATGTTACTGCAATAAACAAAAAATTAAAAAATAAAATAAAATTTAAAAAAATAAATTAAAAAAATAAATGTTACTTCTGAACTACTGGCCAATCTCAGTTTTGGTTGTTTGGTTTGTTGGTTAGTTGGTTGGTTGATTGGTTTTGGGTTTTTGCTCTCACTGCTTAGATTTTTACATTTGTCTTAATTGTGAAGTTGTCAGCACAGGTGAATGTAGGATAGTTTGAAATGACTTAATTTCCCTGCTTTTATAATAGTGATAGTTGTTTTCCATTGTTTTAATTTCCTTTTAGAGCCTTTCTTTGACCTGGTTAGTTTAGGTAACTGGGTATGACAATCCAGCGCTTGATTTATAATCCAGCGCTATTAGGGTTAAAAGGACCCTACACACTAGTTGAAGTCCTGCAATTCACAAATGAGGAATCAGACCCTCAGGGAAGGGAAATGATATAACTGGGGCACTACAACTGCTCAGTGGCAGACCTGTATTCAGAACCTAGGTCTCTTGACTTTGCCAAAGAATTCTTTTCCTCTACATCAACCTCCTTTGTCCTATTCCCAACATATATAGTGACATTTGAGCAGATCTAACAACAAACCCCTCCTGTGGGCTTCCCAAACTTGCTGGGTTGATGACTTCAAGTGTTTGACAGTGCATATGACAATATAATTTATCCTGTGACTGCACAGATGACATCTTGTGACTACTGCTTGATGCCTCCACAAAATCCTCCCTGAAAGGATTGTATCAGTCTATGGATCCACAGCTTCTGTAGTATTCCTTTGAAATATCCCTGAAAATGTCATTCTCACTGTTAGTTATAGACAAATGCCAGATATGGCAACACATTTATGATTGCTAATTATGCATCAATGTGATCCTTTTTTTCTCTCACCGCTGTGCTCATCTGTATATCCTGTTTTGCTATTCTAGGTTTGTGTGCTGGAGAGGCAAATATTTGACTTCCTTGGATATCAGTGGGCACCCATCCTGGCAAATTTTGTACATATTATTATCGTCATTCTTGGTTTATTTGGAACTATTCAATATAGACCTCGGTACATAACAGGAGTAAGTACCCTTCCTGCCTTTTAAAAATTTTATTGAAATAGAGAAAGATATGAAAACTACAAATGTCTTGAAAAATTATATTTATATCCTTTCCTTAAAGTACCATATATTTGTTTTCATATTTTCAGATTACATCTACAGTCACTGAAAATGTCAAGCTTAAAGCACTTGACAGTGAATGTAATCAGATTGTATCTTCATAAATTGTACTTTCAGCAAATATTCTCTTGTAATTACAAGCAGAACTGTGTCCTTATATTTTTAAATTATAAAGTCATGGCCTCTGATTTAAGAGATTTTAATGGGAATTTTTACCATTTTAAATAATCATATTTTATAAATTGAATAAGGATAGTGTAAAATCAATACAAATGAACATATACTATTGATGTGAAAACAACAATACATATTAGGGTTAATATTTGACATACCTGAAAGCCAGAGTAGTCTGGACCCCGGTCTCTGTGTTCTCCATAATTCTCTTTTTGGCTCAGAGGAAGTATTTTGCATTCCCACTCAAGTTAAACTTACCTAACGTAAAAGTGAAATCTGACTGTGTTGCAGTTGCTATGGGAACCATAATTTAGGATTTTTTACTTTTGTATGTGCCTCAGATCTCAGCTATAGTTCTTCATTAATGTACTTTTTTTATATTTTCCTCATTTTTTCTATTTCTTCTATTTTGGACAAAGGAAAAGTATATAGGCATTTATTTAAAATTGTAAAGCAAGTTTGTGGTAAAGGCATATACATAAAACAGTGCAGCAGAAGCTCTGCCTTATTCAACACAAACCCAGCAGGCTTCTCAGATTTCATGGAGGCCTCCTTCACATAAAAGATGCCCTCCTATGGCCTGTGCTCTCTGTCACCTGGAACCCAGATACAGCCCATTGGTACTGAAACAGGCAATACGGTGGCAGCTGGGACCAAGAGATCCACTGTCTGGCTAAGGGTGAACAAGAAGCCCATAGTCTTCTCTTCTACACGCATGCCCAGAAATGAGTGCATGTCATCTCTAAGGATATGGATCTGTGTAAATCTTGTAAAAAGAAAAATGTGTTCTGTTGCAGAGTGAAGTTTTTCAATGCTTAAGATATAACAGTATTGTCCATCTTCTTATATAAATTTTAATTTGGTCTAATATAGGGAAGATAGTACAGGGTTTGGGAGTGGGTCTTCTGAAGCTGTAACAGCAGGATTGAAATCTTGCATCTGCCAAATTCTGTGTGACTTTGTACAGCACAACCTCACCAATCCTTAGTTTTCCCACCTTTAAAATGAAAGTAATAATTATATTAACTCGTATGCTTGAATTAATTGCTGCTGGAGGTGCTGTAAATGCGAAACTTTTATAAGCCATTATATGAAAGATTCTTAATATAACTTTCCTCTTTCATTAGACTTTGAGGCTCCTCCATGATTTTATTCCTATAAATAATGTCCTTCTGTGTATCATCATACAAATATGTCATGTCCATTTCTGATGAAGTTCTTGGAATCAGAGGTTTGTTTTGAGGAGTAAGTGGGATATTCTATAAAATGTCCTTAGCACAATGCTTGGTCTTTAAAAAGTGTTTAATAAACATTAGCTATAATATTTTTCTCCTTATTGTTACTATTATTATTTGAAAAGAATACTAAACCATATAGACTAGCAGTAGGCTGACAGGCGACTTAAAATAAAGCAAGGTCTTCCAAGCTGTTGGTTGAACTATTTCTGTCCCTTTTATTCCAAGCTGTTATTTCTCGAAAATATTTTGTGGGATTTCTATGTATTGAATTATAATGCCATCCCTTTAGATGAAAGACACACCCACAAGTCTTTTCAAGACCGGCTGCTCTCTCTAGCATTATATAAGAGTTAGGATGCCTTGGGACACCTTTAAGATTGTTAGAACTTTTATATAGCTGAGTCTCTGAAATCTGTCTGAGATCTTAACCGTGTGTCTTGGAGCTACGTCTTTGATTTGATCTTGATGTGTAGACAGCATCCTGAATTTGATCTTTTCCCTGAAATAATGTCTTACTTGGAAAACCTTTTGCCAGCTGGAGATGCCGTAAATGTGAAACTTTTATTTTTCGACTCAGAAAGGCTTCACTGGAAATATATTCTCTAAATTCTGCTTGAAAACTGAATTGTCCCTTCTTTAGCTCATCTCCCTTACAATATCATGTTATGTGTGGCTAAAAGATGACAGCACTGTCGGCTGTATGCTTGGAAATCCCCTTAGCCAGATCTACAAGTTTATAGGTATATTTTCTATCTTTGCAGTAATTGCAGGCAATAGTCAAGCTAATTGTTCTAACAATAATTATCATGAGTCCTCTTTTCTCCAGTCCTCGAAACATCTTCCTTACGGTTCTTCCTGTCTCCACTGATAGTCTCCCACTGCCTTCCTGGCCTCCACCTACCACCTTGTCTCAAAACGAATGCAGTGTGTTTTAGGTTTGTGTTAGAGTATCACTCGGGCTTTGGTTCCAATTGTTGTTCTGGTTATCTATTTCCATGTAATTTCTGTATAAGAAACAGTTTCTGTATAACGAAATTCGTTATATCTACTGACCATAATGCCATGTTGAAGATCAAAAGTGGATTCAGGAAAATAGAGAATTTGCCATAAAAATGGAATTAAGTTTGCCCAAAAATGGCAATGAAAAGAAACTTGAATGGAATCATAGAAAACAGAAATTCTAGTCAATGAAGGATCTTGAGTCTAGCAGAAAAACGCATAGTTGGGGGCAAGCTGTAACTAACAATAATGTATTACTGCAGTTAAGAAATATCTACAGGATCTCTGCATGGGAGAATTCGACATTAACAATGAAATTTATTTTCCTCTTCCCTAAAAATATAGACCTTTATGATTTCTATGTTTATCATTTTATATTTTTGCATTATAAACAATTCAGTATCAAGAGATAAGCACTTTTATAATTTCACGACTGAAAATTATTAATATTTTTGCATATTTCCTTCCTTTGCATATGTGTAAATGAAACGTCTGAGTATGCTATATCTCAAATATGTGTCTTAATTTCTTTATTTAATGTTATATCCAACAATTTTGAAATTCATATGGCTATTCCATTGTTCATTTAACCTTTAACACTATTGGTATATGTTATTCTATATAGCATATAACGTTTGTATGATAATTTTATGGTATGTTATATGTTACTATACATTATTCTATTTCCATGATTTTTATGATAAATAATTCCCTATAACCATCTCCATAAAAAATACCCTTATCTTGGGGCCAGCCCGGTGGGGTAGTGGTTAAGCTCAAATTCTCCCCTTCCGCAGCCCAGGGTTTGCGTGTTCGGATCCTGTGCACAGACCTACACATTGCTTATTCAAGCCATCCTGTGGCAGGTGCCCCACATGGAAAGCAGAGGAAGATGGGCGCAGATGTTAACCCAGGGCCAATCTTCCTCAGCAAAAAGAGGAGGATTGGCAACAGATGTTAGCTCAGAGCTAATCTTCCTCACACACACACACAAAAATACTCTCATCTTCATTTGTGATCTCATTCCTTAGGAGAAATACCTAGGTATAATTAAATAATATGAACAATTTTAAGGCTCTTAGTATATAATTGACAATTACCAATCCAAAATTATTTTACTGAATTATCCACCCACCAATGTAGAGCAGAGTCTATTTCATTGTACTCTTGCTAACCCTGAATATTATCTGTTCTCATATTTGTTAATATGATAGGAGAAAAAATGTCATTTTTGTTTTGAATTGCATTTCTTGTCTTGACTGAGTTGGACTTTTTTATGTGTTTATTAACCATTTTTATTTCCTTTTTGGGGGTGTCTTTTGGTGTTCTTTGCTCATTTTTTCCCTGGAGTCTTAGTGTTTATGATAACAATTTTTATATATGGATCATAAGAATTTTTACATATTCAAGGAATATGATATCTTTTAAATATCCTTATATGAAGATATTTACCCTTTAAATATCTTAAATTTTCATTGTGATGTTCCTTATTTTTCTCTTATTTAAATTAACTCCCCCCCTTTGTGATAACTTCTATTGCTTTAAAAATTATAAAATTTCGGGGGCCGGCCCAGTGGCATAGTGTGTAAGTTCAGCGTGCTCTGCTTTGGTGGCCTGGGTTTGCGGGTTCAGATCCTGGGCTCAGACCTACACACCACTCATCAAGCCATGCTGTGGTGGCATCCCACACACAAAATAGAGGAAAGATTGACACAGTTGTTAGCTCAGGGCTAATCTTCCTAATCAAGAAAAAAATTATAAAATTTAAATATCATCTTGAAAAGTGTAATGATAAGGCTTCATTTTTCTTAGGTCTAGTTTTGCTAACACAAAAAGGTAGATAGATGCCCTGAAATAGAGTCTAAGGAAAAAGTGTCCCTGTCCACATTTGCTATTTGTAAAGAGTTTCAAATTATTGATGGAACATTTTATTTTATTTAATTGAAAAAATGCCAAACAAAACAACCATATCCTCAGACATCCTCTGAAACACTGAGCACAGTAGCAACAAATAAAATTTAGAGAGTATTGGTCATGAGTTTTGTTTCTTTTACTAATCTTCTCTTTCATAAGAGCAAAGAAGAAAAATTTAAAACAATTAATTGGAACAAGAACTCGTTAGTACACTTTGACAGCCTCTGGCATTTCAAGGAATATAATATGTTGAAGGAAAATGAAATAGATGATTTCAATTCCATCCAAGCAAAGGAAGTCTGAAGCCAGAATCCATAGAAAGAATCTGTATTGTTAATTCTCAACAGCATCAAGTCTCAAAGAAAAGGCCAGATTAACTCTGGTGGAATAATTTATAAATACATACAAATGGCTCCCATGACATCGTTACCTTATATTGTAAATGGAATTGTCCAGTGCATCTTCATTTGCACTAAAGACGCTGGCAAGCAGAATGTGATTTGGGATATCCAGTGTTTATTAGTTAATGACAAAAAAATGTGAATGAGTTGCATTGCTTTACGTTGTCTGAAATAG